ATTTTTGTTTTTTAAATTAGTTTCTCAGTCATCATCTGGGAGGAAACCATTCTGAGCAACATCATTAAAAACAGCTCTGATAAAGCATGGTCACTACTATGTATCATAAAGCAGGTCCACATATGAGTGAGTACATATCATGTTTGTTTTTTTGTGATTGGGTTACCTTGCTCAGAATGGTTTCTTCGAGTTCCATCCATTTTCCTGCAAATTTCAAAATTCCATTTCTTTTCTGCTGAGTAGTACTCCATTGTGTAAATGTACCACAATTTCTCTATCCATTCTTCGGTTGAGGGACATCTAGGCTGCTTCCAGTTTCTGGCTATTACAAATAAGGCATTAAGCATTCTTTTATCTTCCATTGTAATCCTTATTATGATGATATATTAACTCATTAACCTTATCATTTAACCACCTATAGCTATGTAATTCAGTGCCTTTAAGTACATTTGCATTGTTGTGCCCATTTCACTGTCATCTAATTCTAGGCCTTAGCATCCCAAACACAAATCATACACATTAAATAATAACCACCCCCATTTTTTGGTTTCCTGACAACCTCTATTTTACTTCTGTTGTCTATGATTTTGTGTATTCTAGGCTCCCTATAAAAACACAATTATTAACCAGCCTCTTGGTCTGGCTTAGTTCACCTAGCATATTTTCAGGGTTCACCCATATTGCAGCATATATTAGAACTTTGTTCCCTGCTACATATGTATACTGTAAATTTGTATTGAGTATTAAGATGGGCAGGATACGAGACATGGCGACACTACAGGGACAAGTCTCAAGAAATGGTAATAGTTTAACCTCTCTTTTCAATGCCAGCCAGGGCTACGCAGAGAAACAATGTCTCGAGAAAACAAAAGTTATTTAATGCTTTTAATTCACTTATTTATCCATTTGTATGTGTGGTGCGTATGTTTATGCACACACACACACCATGGCGAGTGATGAAGGTGAGAGGGCATTTAAAATTAGTTCTCTCCACCATGTGGGTCCTAGGGGATGAAACTCAGGTTCTCAGGCTTGGAAGCAAGCACCTTTAATTATGGTGCCATCTTGCTAACCTTTAATTTTTTTTAAACAAGGTCTTATAGCCAGGGATGATAGTGTGCACCTTTAATCCCAGAACCCAAGAGGTAGATCTCTGTGAGCTCGAGGTCAGACTGGTTTACATGGTGAGTTCCAGAATAGTTAAGGCTATTTAGAGAGACCCTGTCTCCAAAGGCAAAAGATTTGTTTATTTAAATGTGTGCATGAATGCCTGCATGTGTGCATGGGCACATAGTATTGCCTGGTGCGCATGGAACATGGAAGAAGATGACAGAGCCCTTGGATCTGGAGTTAAAGATGGCTGTGTGCAGCCATGATGCGGACTGAGAACTGAACCTCTGTGCTTTGCAAGAGCAAAAAGTGCTCTTAGCCACCGAGCCATCTCTCCAGCTCCTTATTTTTTGTGTATGTGTATGCATTTGTTTGTAGATGTGTGTGGTTGCGTATGCATCTGTGCACATACGGAGGGAAAAGACATTTGTGAGCGTTCTTCAGGTGCCCCTCCATCTCTGTTTTCATTGTTTTGTTTTTAATTAATTTTTGGTTTTTCAAGACAGGGTTTCTCTGTGTAGCCTTAACTGTCCTGGAACTTGCTCTGTAGACCAGGCTGGCCTGGAACTCACAGAGATCTGCCTGCCTCTGCCTCCTAAGTATTGGGATTAAAGGCATAGGCCACAACTGTCTGGCTGAAAACAACTTAATCTTAAAGTTCTCTGTTAGTAATTAATAGTAGATAGTCAGGTAATCCTGACAAATGCTAGCAACTGATAAATACAGTCACAATAACCAGATTACAGATCTTGTATATGACAGCTGCTCAGTCCATTAACACAACAAGTGTTTCGGAGATTCTTCCAGCCAGGTCCTGCTGCCCTTGAAGAACTCCAGTAACAAACAGCACATATTCTGATAAAACAGTGTCTGAAATCACACAGGGGAGAAATGCCTGTAATCCCAGCACTATTGTTGAAACAAAAGGATTATGAATTTCAGCCCAGCTGGGACTACATGGTGAGACCCAGTCTTAATTCATACTAAATCAAAACAAAATGAAAGTACACATGCAAGAATATGTCTGTTTTCTCCATCAGGTTGTAATGTTACATGGAAATCCTACATGAGAGCACTTAGGAAAAGAGAAATGGAACTGTGAAACTCATTTTCTGATATAGTGAACTATTACTAGTCAAAATATTCTATCAATTGACAATGTAAATTTTTCTGTGCATTAAGTTATATGTTAGGCCCTGGGAGGGCAAAAGTTCTCACCCAAATATTGATTTCAGTTTTACTAGGAAAATGACAAATAACTACAAGATGATTATTATAGGGAGCAGGAATTTGATAGCTTTGCTAATCCAATCAGATTTCACTGAGAAAAATCTATTTCTCTGTTTAGAATGCTTCTCAGTGGGAAAGAACATGGTGACACATGTTTTTTTTTTTTTTTTTTTTTTTTTTTTTTTTTTTTTTTTTTTTTTTTTTTTTTTTTTTTTTTTTTTTTAATTCCAGCAATGGTGATGGGGGTGGTTGGATCTCTGTTTGAGGCCAGCCTGGTCTACATGGTCAGTTCACCTGTCTCCAAAAACCAAAATATATAAATAAGTAAATCGAATGTTTTGTGGTAAACAAACCTGGAAAAATACAGAATATCACACAGCTAACTCAGAAGTTAACTACTGGTATGTTGTGTCTTTTTTCTTTTGGTTTTTCGAGACAGGGTTTCTCTGTGTAGCTTTGGAGCCTATTCTGGCACTGGCTCTGGAGACCAGGCTGGCCGAGAACTCACAGAGATCTGCTTGCCTCTGCCTCCCGAGTACTGGGATTAAAGGCGTGTGCCACCAATGCCCGGCATATGTATGTCTTAACTTTGTTCTATAAAGTAAATTTTAAAAAATTAAATTGGGGGCTGGAGAGATGGCTCAGAGGTTAAGAGCACCGACTGCTCTTCCAGAGGTCCTGAGGTTAATTCCCAGCAACCACATGGTGGCTCACAACCATCCGTTACGAGATCTGGTGCCCTCTTCTGGTGTGCAGATGAAAGCAGAATGCTGTACACATAATAAATAAATAAAAAAATTCTAAAAAAAAAATTAAATTGGATTAAATGGGAGGTGGTGGTACATGCTCTTCCCAATACTTGGATACAGAGGCAGAGGCAGGCAGATCTCTGAGTTCGAGGCCAGCTTTGTAGTTGGAAGGCAAGCTAGTGCTACAGAAAAACCCTGTTTGAAAAAAAAAAAAAAAAAAAAAAAAAAAAAAAAAAAGGATTACTGAGGAGGCTTAGTTATGCTAAGTGGAAATGGAGAGTCAACCACAGCTTTCCTTTTGAATCTAGTACTAACCTTTTGAACTCATGTCACAGTATTGGATAGCTGGTAGTTTTCTTCACTGCATCCCCCAATTACATATTGAAGACTAAATTTGAGGCCAGCAAGCAGGTGTTTATCCAGGAGGACTTTATTCTAATAATAAAGTCTACTTGAGTTTCAAATGCTTAAGAATAACAGAGTTTCTTGCAAAGGGCATCCCTAGTCTTACATTTACCTACTTTTTTCTCTATCCAGCCAACTGCAGTCTTGTTTTCTACAGTAATTTGATGTGCACAATTCCCAAGTCAAATACTTAGATTCTTAGTGTATTCTGTGGATGCAAAAAACACAGTTCTCACCTTAAAGGGAATAAGAGAGAGCTTATTGTGGAGCCATATTTGAATGGTCTTGGCCCATGTAATGGAGATTTGGGTTATATAAGTAGTTTCATGACAGTAAAGAACAAAGACAGTCTAAATAAAGTCAAGCTTAAAAGACATTGGTTTGTACATCACGGGGGAAGTTACAATATGGGGGACACTTTCACTGGGCTGCAGATGCCATCTGATAACATTCTTAGTTCTTGGTTTGGTGGAAACTAGTAGGAGTAAGCTAAGCTGAAAGGTCCCAAGAGATTTTTATCTGTTAGTCACAGGATATTAGCTCCAACATGGAGGTTGGCAAGGACTGGCTATTCAGTGGGCAAAGCTAGGTCCAGAATGGGCAATTAGCCTCTGAATATAACATTCTAACCTGTCCACATTACGGCAGCTCTAATCAATCTTCGCAGATAGCCTCCTTCCTGGAATTTTCCTTCACAACTCTTTCTTCAAGTCAGACTGAGATTTCTAGAAACTCATTTCCCAAAATTTAAGCTAAAAATACTGTATTTTTAAGCATTATCGTTTCTTTTGTAACGAAATTAGTAGGCTGGAAAACGGACATTTTAGATATATGAACACTGTTCATGCTAAAACCCCTTTTACCTCCTTTCGGAAGTTCACCTTGTAGTTGAGGTGTAGAGGACCAGTAGAAACTATGCTTGCCGGGATGGGGGTTGGTGGAAGGCATGGGAGGAAAGGAGAGAGAAGGAACTGGGATTGGCATGTAAAATAAGATTGTTTTTAATTTAAATAAAAAAGTAAAACAACAACAACAACGAACTATGCTTCCCAGTTACTTAAAGAGTAGCTGAGCCGAGTGAACTGTGGATGTTCCCACGAGAGGGCGCGGTGTTAGCAGGTTAACAAAGAGACCTGGACAAACTCCCTGCTTGCAGAACTCACTGGAGTACAGCCTGATGCCAGCAGCTTGTCTCACGTGGGCCTGGCACAGGGAGTTCCAAGTTGGAAGGGTTTGACTCTGGGGCTCCTCAGTGGTCTGAAAGTGGAGAAGCAAGAATTGAACATTTTTCCCTAAGCAGAGATGTCCGTAGGAGCAAACGCATTTCCTCTTGGAGGGTGTCATTACTAAAGTTAAGAACGTCAAGGCTGGCCGGGCAGATGAAAATGTGTGGGGTGTGACGCAGGCTCCACAGACGAACGCTCAACTGCAGAAATCCAGGGGGAGGGGGAGGTTTGCCCATAAGAAAAATGGCGCGGACTCATCAAGGCCGCATCACTACTTGCTCCCAAGCCCGGCTGAGGGCAAGTATGACTTCAGAGGACAAGCGGATGTTATTCTCATTCACTTCCGGGTCAGACACACCGGGCACCATCTTGCCTGGTTCCTGAA